AGGTTGACCAGAAGGCCCATCTTCTTTGTAACCCCCTTTCTCATCACTCAAGTGGAAAACATAGACCCAGCTTAGATTCCATTTTCCTTTCTTGCTAGTTCTGTTCTTCTCCGTTGAGATTTTTTGAGCATTATTTTCGATAATTTATGTTGGAAAGCCATATAGATCCATTTTCTTTTTTTAAATGCAGATTTTCAAAAAATATTTTAATGTTGAATGTGCTTGAAAAAATTAACCTCCAAGATATTTCAATATCCTCCCACCCGACTCAGGCTAAGACTCAGTACTCCAGGCCATTTCCTTCAGGGCTTCGTTCACCTGCTGTGGTGACATTCTTCCATGAGGGGAGGCCAGAAGCCCCTAGGTTTGTCCTGACTCTTCTGAGAAACGCAGTCTTAGAGTGTTAAAGGCACACAAGACTTTTTTTTTTTTTTTGAGAGTCCTATTTCTCTTCAACTCATTACGCCTAAAACAAAACTCATTTCCCCCACTCCAAATCCATGCCCCACCCCAAGCAATCCTCCCAATTCCCATGGCGTCCCTGAGTCTCCCGTCCACCCCTGTCCTCATTCATCAGCAAAACCTGTTGAACCCTCTTCTTCCCTTTTCCTTCCTGTTGCCATGATCTCATTTATTCCCTTTGCCTGTGACTGATCTTTCTGCCTCCATCTCTTTCCCTCTAATCCATCCACTCCACACTATTGCCAAGGCAATCTTCCTCAACACCATTTCTTCTACGTCTTTCTGCCTGCCCATGAGCCTCAATCTGTTTGATCAGTTGCAAGATCAAGTCCATTTTCCTTAGCTTCGAAACATGAGTCCTCCATACTCTGATTCTTCGGATCATGTCTCACTTCTTCCTTTTATGACCCATTTGTGTGCCTACATCCATTTGTTTGCATTGCATGCTATTAGGAACCCAACATGTACCTGTTGGTGTTCTGGTTGTTTCTGAAAGGATGAACAGAAAAGCCCTTACAAACATTTTGTGGTCTTGGAAACTTGGTGGTGCCAACTAGGATGCCTCTGTCTAAATCCTGACCCACTTTCCAATGCCTGTTTCACATTTTTGTCCTGCAGAAACCTTTTCTGAGTGTCTAGGGCCCTCCTCATGGCTCTATCAGCTTCATTGTCTGAATTCATCCTTTGATATTTAGTATTTATCTATTTCTCATTTAGCAATCAGACACACTGAGCACCTGTTGTGCCAGGCACTGTAATGTGTATGTCCTCTCACAGCAGTGCATTTTTATAGCATACTAAAAACGACAACCACTGCCTTCCATACTCAGCCCTTTCTAGGTGCAGGGACAGCTTAACACATGTTTACTAAATCCTGAAAACAGTCCGTGAAGTAAGCATTATTAGTATCCAGATTTTAAGGTGGGGGCATCAAGGCAGAGATTCCTAGGGTCACACCATAGGAAGTAGCAGAGATGGGAATCAAATCTGGCCCTGAAATCCTTGATCTTCATCTTTCTGCTTCACTGTCAGGTACCATATGAATGTGACATTTTTTGTTTGTATATATATAAGCATATCCCTGCCCCCCCCCCCCCCCACATTCCCTTCCAGCTAAACGCTAAACTGTCAGAGGTTAGGGATGATGTCCAGTACTAGTATCCCCACTCCCTTATGCGTTATTTGCACATAGTAGGTAATTGAATTGTTTGCTTGGTAGATTATTATTGGATTATTGGATTTTTAGCAGCGAGTACTGTGCTTTGTGGCAGAAGGGGGAAGAACAGAATTTCAGAAAGTACTCAGACATTCTTGACCTCCTCGTTTCCAGTTCTCGCTGCAGGCTATGAGGATAGGCTTATACAAGACAACAGAGTAATGGGAAAACTCTGGGAAGGGGAATGAAGCCACAGTGTATGGTTACGTGACTCCTCGCCTCCGCGATCTGTTCCCATTGCTCTTAATCACGTCCCTTTTTGCTTTTGCTCTGCAAAGCCAAAGTTGTGGCACGAGGATCTCAGGTTTGCATTCCTGGCCCAATATTTCTATTTAAGATTTTTATAGTTCACGACTATGAGCATTTCACTTGAGTGCCAATACTGCAACTACATATGTAGCTTAATAAAACCTGATAAGTGTGTATTTGAATTTTAAAAACACAGGTAGAGGGTTATTTGCATTTTAAAAGGATTCGGCCCCTCACAAAAGGACCTACTGCAGGGTTCCATTAAATATCCAATTCCTGTTAGTACATTTATCATACAATTTAATTTCCCAAGATTTGATTTATATGCCTCTCTAGAGGGGGAGCTCTCAAGCTCCAGCGAACATGGAAATCACTTGGGTAACTGACTTAAAATTCAGATCTTGCCCCAACTCCTCTCCAAGATAGGTTTGGGGTAGGGCCCAGTATCGTAATTTTTAAAAAAATTTATTTATTTATTTACTTACTTTTTGAAAGGCAGAGTGACACATAGAGAGGGAGAGACAGAGAGAGAGGGATCTTCTACCCACTGGTTCACTACCCAAATGGCAGCAACGGCCAGGAATGGGCTAGGTTGAAGCTGGGGGCCAGGAACTATAACATGGTCTCCCACGTGGGTGTCAGGGACCCAAACATTTGGGCCATCATCTGTCATCTTAACCTGGTGTGCCACAGTGCCAGCCCCAGGATCTTCATTTTTAATGAGCATCCCCAGGTGTTGGCTCTGGTGAAATGCACTTTGGGAAGTGTGTAAAATGAGATCCAACTGCAGGGGTTTCTCCAGGGCTCAAAAGCACCTTTACTATTAAGTATCCTGCTTACTCTTCCTTTAGTAAATTAAAAAAATTTATTGGTATCAAATAAAAACTCTTCCATCTCTTTTCTTCTCATACTTAGCTGTAGCTGCCAATCATCTTTAATTTCAGGTGTAAAATGTTTGCTTTCATTTTTTTAACCCCTATTTTTCTCTTAGATGTCTCTTTCCATCTTTTCTATTCTCATTTGTTTATAAAATAAATTTGTAATTATTTGTGTTTTAAATTTATTTGAAAAGTAGAGACAGACAAATGTAGACAGATCTCTCATCTGATGGTTCACTCTCCAAATGCTTGCAAGAGCTGGAGCTGGGCCAGTCCAAAGCCATGAGCTGGAAACTCCATCCAGGTATTCCACATGAGTGGCAGGGTTGCAGAGATTTGAGCCATGACCTACTGCCTCCAAGGGTGTGCGTTAGCAGGAAGCAGGAATAGGGAGCAGAGCCAGGACTCAAACCTGCTGCTGTGATACGTGAAGTGGGCATCCCAAAAGGGCATCCTAACTGCTGCACCAAATGCCCTGCCCTTTGTTCTCATTTCTTAAAGCTCTTTCGAACAGTTGTCTACTAAATTCATTTGTTCCTGTTCCTCTTTCCACATACCCCACCCACGGGCGCTAGTGCACAAGTCCTGGCTGCTCCACTTCTGATCCAGCTCCCTGCTAATGTGTCTGTGAAGGCAGCAAAAGATGGCCCAGGTGCTTGGGCCTCTGCCACCCACATGGAAGACATGGGTGGAGTTCTGGGCTCTGGTCTTTGTCCTGGAGCCCTGGCCATTGTGGACATTTGGGGAATAGACTAAAGGATGGAAGATCTCTCTCTCTCTCTCTTCCTCCCCTTCTCTCCATGACTAATTCTGCCTTTCACATAAATAAGTAAATCTTTAAAGAATATATAAAGAATGGCTGTTTCTGAGGAGGTTTCTCTTACTAGGGCCCTTCTTTTTCTCCCTGTCCTCTCTACCGCCCCTCAAAATGACCAAAAATTAATTTTTCAAACCAAACAAATCACGAGAATGACTTGCTTTGGCGTCTTCTATTCTTCCTAGAATATTAATCCTAGTCCTAGAGCAATGAATGCCAAGACTGTGCATTTAAAATATGATTACATTTTAATGAAGTTTGTTTAAAAAATAGACTCTGTGACATTTCCGGCACATGTACCTATGTATTTAATATATCATTGATCTTCTAAAAGTCACTTGCTTGACCTATATTTTGGCTCTGATTACTTTTCTAAATCTCCAGTAATCTCTAAAAACATTTAGCAATTTCCATACTTTAGAGTTTTTTCTCCTTTGTTAATCTCCTATATCCCTGAATTTTGCTCCAAGTAAAGGTTCTCTGGGGTGATCTGGATTTTGTAAAATACCTCCAGTAATGACAGAGGCATTACAAGATCAAATAACTGGTGCGCTTGGTTGTGGGTTGGAAACTGTTTCTTTTCATATGTTTGTCTGAGCTTCCCTTGAAATAAGAAGCTTTTAATAGTCTCCCTTCCCGCCCTTAACAACAGAGCCAGAGATTCAGTTATTTGTTTATTGGGACTCTATGAACCTTTTTTAACTCATTCAGTGCTGGTGTAGTGCTGCCGAACAAGCATGGGGGTGATCTCTAGGAAGACACAGTGTAGAGAAGTGAATGCAGAGTCGTTATTGTCGAGCTAAGACAGGAGTGATAGGAGAAATAGTTTTGAGTTGTCTGAGAAACTCTTGCAAATAGGAACTTTTTTGGTATGTCCAATATGATTTGATTTTTATAGAAAAAACCCTATTAGATGACAAAGTCAGAAGGTAATCTTTTGGTGGTGGGATTGCAACCTGTTGTTTTTATGAATTTTCTCAAGCTTCTACAGTGACCATGTATTACTTGAATTTTTGTAAGTGTTTTAAAAGAAAGAAACCTGCTATTCCTGGCATCCTAATCTTTAACAGATTAGATAAGAGGCTAATCTTTAACAGATCTACTACTGTATACAACAGCGGTAAAAAGAAAGTTCTCGTTAGTAGGCGCAGAGTAGGGCAGCTAACAGAAGCCTCTCCAGTGCACTGGAGAGCAGCTTTCTGTCCTGCGACCAGAGGCCCAGAGGGCCAGTGTTTGTGCATGTGTGTGCCCTGCCACTCCTCCTTGCGCTCAGGACCCCAGACTGCAGGGAAGACTGCGTTGCATGTGGGATTTTAACGTCTCTTCTTTGTTTTTCTCTTCCCCTCACCCCCTCCTCTGCCCTTTCTCCCTCCTCAAGGCCTCTCCCACCTCATGATGAGTGAACAAGGTAGGTGGTTTGTGCTCGTGGCCCTGCAGCTGCCTGAACCGCTTGCCTTCGCGCCTCTGGCTGGTCACTCGGAGCTTCTCGGTGGCTGGCAGGCTGTTCACTGCCTGTCCCCTCTGCTGTGGGGCGGGCTGGCAGCCGGGTGCCCTTCTGGGGGGTACATGGGGGGGACATATTCCGGCGCATCTCTCTGGCTTTTCCATTCTCCACCATCATTTGTGTCCTGGTGCTGGCCCTGCTGGGCTGCCTCGGAGAAGGAAGCATGAAACAAGGCGTGACAGGTGCATCCTGGGGGTGAATGGAGCTCATTTCTGAGCACTGGAGCAGTTAGCTTCCTCCTGCTCCACCCCAGGCCCCAGGCTGGACCGCAGCTCCAGGGAGAGGGTCTGCCTTTCTCCCTGAATTTCCCTAGGAGTAAAGGTTGGCCTTCTGTCTTCCCTTCCATTCCACTGCCCATCGTAATAATGCTTTGCCCTCCCTGGTCAAAGGAAAACTCTGGGGACTTTGACTGTTGTCAGTTTTATATTAAAGCAAAAACCACCCATAGAACATGCTAATATCTTCATGGCAGGATTCTAACTCATTATACACCCTGAAGAAAACTGCATATAAAGATCTGAAAATTCAGCATCTGCAACCTAAAATATTCAAATATGCAAGGAATGAACTGAGCAGGAAATTCAGCCCAGCGAAGCATAGGGTGGGCTGTGAATGAAGCCTTTTCCTCCTAAATAAAAATTTTCCACATTATCAGCCTAAATCAGGATTTGCGAACCGAGCCTACTTAAAATTGTCTTTTTCTTCACTGTTCAATTGCTACTATTGTGTTTCCTCTGAACCTTGCAGTGATTGCAAGATTGGGCTACCTACCTTGCCCTGTCACCAAAAAACTGTATTTTAATTTTTCTTGCCTATTTCTTTTCTGAATACACATAGGAATCAGTGCCTCTTTTAGAGGAGTGAAGAAAAGGAGAAGGAGGAGACCTTCCATATTGTCCAATTTTTCTTGATCTTTTGAGGAAAGTAGAACAATACTGACAGCCTACCTCCCTGTCCCTTCCATTGGGTCCATCAGTTTTGCCATAAAGGGGAGTATGACCAGATGAAGGAAGCACCTGGGGCTGAGAGAAGTTTGTATATGGTGTCCAGGTCGCTGTGGATCTGGGCACTTGAGAGCATCCTGAATTGATAAGAGAGAGTAAGGAGGAAGCCTGATTTTCCAGTATAAGTTTGTCCTTCAGCCTTTAGGCAAGTCCTGAAGTTCAAGAAATTTCAGTGGAGGTTTGGCTTAGTAGAGGGTAGATACCAGGGACCAGAGCTGCCGGGAAGAGGTCAGGAAGAGGCTGGGACAAATCCTGTCTTTTCTCCTTGTAACTGATGAGGGAAGCAGGTGCTAACAGGAGCTATGAAGTGCATGAGTAGGGGATGTCCTTGATGTTGACCTAGTATCTTGGTAGGTTGAGAGAATTAAACATAAACATAGCTCTCTGAAGTGAGAGGAATCAAACTCTGAATTACTAGAGCTTTATGGCCCAACTTTGGTGTCAGGTGACACCAGATCAAGCAGGCCCTGAGCCCTGATGACAGAAACTCCTCCTGTATTACCTGGCCACATGCTCTCAGCTGTCCTTCAGTGGTTCTCCTAGTTTTTAGAGTGACTTGGAGGACTAATTGCACCCAATGGCTGACGTCATGGAGCAAAGTGTGGCAGAAGGCCTAGGTTGATGGGGATTTCCTTGATCTTGATTTAGCAAGCTTATTTCAAACACAGATGAGGCTCAGGCTGCAAGGTTGGAAGGCTGAATCTCAACATTGGTGTGAAAGGTGTTGGGAGCACCATGCTCTTTATCTGACCCAATACTTCCTTGCATTTAAGAGGAGTATTCAATCACAGTTGTGCCCTGGGGGAGTAGGTCAGCTACCTCCTTGAAAAAAGGAAAGGGATAGTGACAGATGTGAATGTTGTAAATTCCTCTTTAGCACGGTTTCCAAGAAGGGTGCAGAATTCTTCTGGGTGATTGGTGCCACTAAGATTTTATATTGCAACTTGCAGCTTAGTCTGCTTTTATGAAGGTCCTTTGACTGCATTTCTCTTCCTCTCATTCTTTTCCATTTTCTACACCCTTCTCTGTTTTTGTTTATGAAATGACTGCCTAGAGGAACCAGTAGACTTGTTCCCACTGGTATTTGTTGCCTTCTCCTTATTCCTTCCACATGAAAGAATAAGGCTTCTGTCTGGTTCCCACTGAATTTCCAGAATTTGTTTTTGATGCCCATAAATGTGTGAAAATATTTATGTATGTTGTATGTTCACCACTTATACGTGTAGGTGACACTGTTGGCCCGCACGACTTATATTCATGTTGGGAACCTCAGGAGAACCTAGCTTCCCGGCGACTTTCTGTAACCATTTTTAGACCAGCTAAATGCATGCAGTTTCACTGATGTGTGCCTGTGCAGTGCTTCTGCATGCTGACTTTGCTGTGTGTCCGGAGGTGGGACTGAGCCAAAGCAAATGGGACAAAGGTTAAACACGAAGCTGATGGAAGCGTTTCTGGTCACTGTGTTGACTGTTCGTTGAGGCTTCCATCGCGAGTTGGTTTTGTGCTGCTTCTCAGGACGTTGCCATGCTGTGGCCTTTGCTTTGTGGGTTTCTGTGGTGTGTGTTGCCTCTGTGTGTGTCCGCAGTGTGCTGATATTTTCCTCTCCTTTCTCTCGCTTGCTCTGCCTCCATGGTGGATACCATGCTTCCTCTACTTAATTGGACCTCCTACTTCATTTCTGTAGGTAGAAGTAAAGGTAGAGACCACTTTATTTTTATCACTATACCTATCAACCTGCCTCCTGAATTATTCATGTACCCAAAGGGAATTGTTGATTCTGATGAATATGGTCCAGATGATAAGTTAATGCACTTAACTGAAAATGAAAAAAGGAAAAGGAAAAATCCAACACTATCATTTCCTTTCAGTGTACCTCATGTTCAGAGTGTGTTCGGGATGGTTCTGAGTCGGTCTACCTCCCTATAACTCCGTTATGAGACAGAGGCGTGTGTGCGTGCTGTTTCTGGAAATGGTTCTGTGGTGCGGGGAAGCTGCATTTTACTTGGGTGTAGGGTATCAAAGATTGCCTCCTAGCAAATTGATGGAACAAGGGCAGTGTGAAATGAAATATGGTCATTGCTATTACTTGAGAATAACTGAGTTTGGGGATAATAATGGTGGGGGAAGGATTGGTGAATTGTCTAAAATTCTATTTAATGTATAATTTGAGAGCTATTTATTTATTGCTCTTTATCCTTTATTGCACTGCCTAGATGGGTGGGAGTCAGTTTTCTGACTGGGGTGATGGGAAGGACTGGGAGGATATGGAAGCGTGTGGGAAGGGAAATGTGTGAAAATGCAGGGAGGAAGCACCGACATGAGACTTTAACATCCAGGTAGGCAAGGGAAAAGGAGAGACACGGAGTGGGCGAGCTGGCTTTGATGCTCTGACATGCCTCTCCAAGCTTCACACCTTTGTGTAGCTCAGCTCACTCATCCGTTCCTAATCAAAGTTGTCAGAGTCTCAGCCTGAGGAACCTGGCACACCGGCTCCAATTGGATTAGCTCTCCGAGAGTGAAGGGAGAGGTTAATTGATAAATTATAAATATGTATCTGTTTCCAGTCCTTCCCTCTTCTTCCCTAAGTGTCCAGGCCATCTCTTGGTGAAGCCATTGCTGCTACTCCCTTCAGAGGCAGACAAATAACAGAAATGGGGACCCTGGCATGAGGATCTTGGAGAAGGAAGGGCTTGACATGTTACTGAAAATGCTGATCTGATGCCTAGGCTGTGGACTGGCCACTTCCCATTGAGTTTTCTGCTTTGCTAGGTTTTTAAAAAGTTAGTTCTTGCTGCCTTGGAAGCAGATCAATCCTTTTCCTCTTGGGATTGGTTGATTGTTGCTTTTATGCTAATCCCAGGTGGGCTCAGTCTCAGAACTCTCTCATGGGGAACCCTGACCCCAGTGGAAGGAAGTAGAGGGAGAGCAATGTGATTAAGGAGGTGTGTCTCATTGTACCTCTACCTCACTATGACAATACCCAGTAGAAGGCTGTCTGTGGTCACTGGTAGGCAAGGACACCAGTCTTTGCCCAGGTCTCCATCTCACTGATGCATGTGGCATTGTCACTTGTCCCTTCTTTCATTGTTTCCTACTCCAGGATGTGAGAATTCGTCTCTGTCCCCCCATTTTAATCCCTGAATGCATCCCGTAAGATTGGTGTTTTTAGTGTTTTTAGGTTTTGCATATGAGCGTCTTATTTTCCTTCCCTGGGTCACTGCTGTGGCCTCTGTTGGCAGCGACCAACACAGGTGGAGTTCCCATGTTTGTTGAGCTTTATGTATCTTGTCACACTTAACCGTTACTACTCTTCCATGAGGTAGATATGGCATTGTCCTCACTGTGTAGATAAGGATACCAGGCTTAGAGGGTTATACAACCTAAGTCAGATGGTTAGTAAGTGGGCCTAACTCAGAAACTGAGCCCCAACCACTGCTGTATGCTGCCTCTCTTGGATCCAAGGATGACCTCCATGGCTGTGTCTATTGACTACCTCTTAGGCACTGGCTTGTCTGAAGTTCCAGCTCACCACCTTGCATTCTTTGTAGCACATGTCCACCTAAATGTCCCAGTGGTACCTACGTATGTCCAGAGTTAACCTTGATCTCATGTCATCCACACATCAGCTGCCTTGTCTAGGATGTCCCTATTTTTGTTAATGGAGCCCCATTCTCCTTATCCCCTGTGCTTGAAATCCAGGGATTCCTTTCCATTCTTCTCCATGAACTTTCCTCCTCTGGGGCAATTCATTGAGAGAATGGGGGGACTCTCTTTGCATTCCTGCTGTCTTGGACCACTTGGTTGACTATTGCCCTGTCCTAGTTAGTCTCCCTTTTCTTCTTTTCCAGTGTGTCCAGAAAAACGAGCTTAACCCTTCCTGTCCACCAAGTAGCGTGTAGT